AACCCTAAACCCTAAACCCAATGTACCCCTCTGAACGATATTGACAAGAGCCGCACCCCAAGGCCTGAAAACTCTGGTCCTCCGAGCCTTGTCTGTAATGAAGGAAGAAGGCATTTTAGGGTTCAGGGTTTTAGGGGTTTCGGGTTTTGGGTTTTGGGTTTAGGGTTTAGGGTTTAGGGTTGAGGGTTTAGGGTTTAGTGCTCCTTTTAGGTCCTAGGTTTAGAGTTAGGGCTGTAGCGCTCAGCGTAAGGTTCCGTTGCAAGGGTTCAGGGTTTAGGAGTCAGGGCTCGGAATACGGTATCTCTCTCACAGCTACAACGGTGGAATGTGCGTCCTTATTGTCCTTCCTGTCTCATTGCTCGTATCTTTCTGGTGCCGCGCGGTCCTGTTGAACCCTCTTGTGGTTGCAAAGTCTGCGGCCAGTGTCCTCGCGAAGGGCATCGAGCCTGGTCTTCGGAAGTTTAAGACTCAGCAAGCTTGGCATTGGCATCGGGAATCTTTGTTCGGCTAGCTTGATCCAGGGATTTGGGGACTTCCTCAACCTGGACAAAACAGGCCTTGGTGGAGTGTTGCTTATGCTGCATGGATGACGATGCTCGCTGAAGCAGCAGCACTAGCAGACAAGAGCAGCCGTCCCAGAACTTAAGGCAACTATCTATAATCGCGAAGTCCAGAAACTTAAACAAACAACCAACCGCCAATGACATCAACACAAGAAGACCTTTGGCCCCGGATGCCAAGCCCTGACGGCTGGATGATGCAAAGCCTTAAACCCTAAACACGATCGCCCTGAACATACCAAAAAGAGGCCCACTCCACGTCGTCGGCGCCCTACATAAACCCATGTCTCCCAAATCCGAAGGGAGCCCACAAGCCCTACACCAAACCGTAAACCCGTCGCCCCTCAACTGAGGAATGTGCGGCCCAGAAGTACCACAGGCCCCCCGACCCGGAGGGGCCTTGGGTTTGAGGATGCTTTGGTAGAATATCAATAAGGAGCCGAAAGGAATAATATAGGTAGCTATTGCAGGAGTTCGGGTTCAGGCTTTCGGAATTAGGGTTGTAGGTTTCTGAACGTCCTTCAAAGGAGACTTTTTACACGAGTTTTTCCAGGTGGCTAGCTCCAGCAGACTAAACCCTAAACCCTTAACCCTAAAAATAACCCTCCTACATCAACCCGAAACAACGAAGCGCGAGACCGTAAGCCCAAACTCGACAGCACCTCTTGATCCTGGGCAATGAAGCCCTGAAATTTCGAGCCAAGCTCCCCCCAAACCCATGCGATCCCTAAACCCTACCCTGACAGGACTACCAGCTCACGCGGGATGTGGAAGGCCGCGATCTTGTTCTTGAAGTGAGGCTCCTCGGCGCGAGAGTACGAACAAAGACACCACAAGCAGAAGGGTCATACTAGACTTAAGAAGCAAGGTAACCATAGGTATCATCATACTAAATGGTCATACTAGACTTTAAGAAGCAAAGTAATCACAGGCATCATAATACTCAATGGTCATATTAGACTTAAGAAGCAAGGTAATCACAGGTATCATCATAATACTATTTTTCTTTTATGTTAATCGTCATCGAATCAGCGTATTAGATATCACATGCACGGGTTCATGGCTTAGGGTTACGGATGCAAGGTGAACACTAGTGCTGGTTTTGTTCCTGTTGTGTTTCCTGCTATCAGTTACTTGGCAGCTTCAGTCGAACGACTAAGCTGCTTGCACGGTGTCGTAGTACGAACATATGTGATTGATACTGTGGTGTTAAAGCATGAGGAGTCTGCATTGCGAGCAACATGCTGTAATGGCACCGCATGGTCATGCTTTATTCGCGTGATCCTTTATGCTGGACGCGGGTGAGTGGTCAGGGCCCCTGGTGAAGACTTCCAAAATTTTGCTGATGTCCTTTATGCCGAGTGCCTTCTTTCCCCCACAATTACCGAGAATGAGCAGACTGCAAGGAAAGGCCTGTACCACGACCTCTACCCAGAGTCGCAGGCCATGGCTCCGTACCAGCGGAACTTTCTCCTGGGCTTTTGATGTCAACAATTCCTGGTTCGTGAAGGGTTGGATTGACGATGGCGCTGCTTAGCATTTTGGGTCGCGCATTGAATCGCAGGTTGCTTGCCAGGTTCATGTTCCGGCCTTTTGCGAGTCAGATTCGCTGGCCACACGAGTTGTGGAGTTGCAGCTATTTAGCACAAAGGCTCTCTTGACTCCCCACGCCGCGATGCATCTTTTGCGGCTGTTGCGCATGCTTTGGAAGCGAGTTGCTAAACTTGTTGAACTGCTTCAAGGCGATCTGTTTTGCCTGAATCTGATGTTTAACCATAGCCGATATTGCGGGTTGATAGCTAACACTCTTCTCATGCCATGGAGATGTGGTCAGACTGACTACCAACTTCAGTCCGCCATGATGCCCCAAACTCCAAAACCTGACATCTCTACACCTGAACCCTAAAACCTTCAACCCCCAAAACCCTCAATCCCGAACCCCAATCCCTCAACAAAAAGTCGTGGAAACAGAAAACCTAAACCTTCACCCCTCGATCCTAAATCCTACAACTCTAAAGCCCTCCCGCTGAAGGCCGATCTTGTCATAGCGATGAACGCGCCTCGTTGACAGAGACATGGGGCTACTCTTGAGCCTCTGCTCTGTGGTAGTGGTGGTAGTGGTAGTAGCAGCAGGAGTAGTAGTAGTGGT